CTATGATGAAAAATCAAACCTAGGGAAACAGCATGGCGCAGGGGAGAAAGCAATCATTTTGGGGTCAGAGGACCTGGGTCAAATCCTGCCTCTGGTGTTTTCAGCCCATTAGAAATAATCTTAGACAAGTAGTTTCTTCCTAGGTCTCAGTTTATCTGTAAAATGAAAGGTTTAGACTAGATGCTGAGGTCCTTTCCTACTCTAAAATTATGCTCCTAATAGTGTCTAGCACACAGTAAGCACTTAATGGTTTTTCTCCATCCATCCATCCATCCACCCATCCACCTATCCATCCATCCATCCATCCATCCATCCATCCATCCATCCATCCATCCATCCATCCATCCCATTTAGCCATTTCATGACATTTAGATAGAAATGAATTCTGCTTCACAGAATCAGAGTTAAGCCGCAAGGAAATGCAGTGGCTCTCTAGTCCCACTTGGACCCAAAAAGGAATTTATTCCCTTCCCTGGCCAGCTCGTTCTATTTTCGAATAGCTTTCATTGTTAAGAAGTTTTTCCTTTTAAGGTTCCTATAACAACTCATACTTACACTGCCACTCAAAGTTTAGGATGCACTTTTCTCACAGTATCCTTGCCAGGATGATGGTGCCAATAATATCCCCTTCACTTTACAGATGAGGACTGAAATCTAGGGATAGAGGAAAGGAAGTGTCCAAGGTCACACAGCTGTAAGTAATGGAGCCAGCCAAGCCTTCCGTCTCCAAATCCAATGCCCTTTCTTCCATACTCCTCTGCCAAACAAGCCACTTGATTAGAGGCTGCCATTTACAATGTCACATTTGAAAAACAAACAAATATGACCAAGGCTTTGCTTTCTTTTGTAAGGATTCTAAATGCCATTAACATTGACAGCTTGACAAAAGAAGCTAGCTGATAGTAATGTTTACTGGGTACTTTCCCCCCCCTTTTCTAATACTGGCATTGCAGAGCCTCATTGCTGTACTCGACAACCAAAAAAATCTAACACCTTTGCTCTGCCTCAGTGGACTCAACGCCAGAAGTCATTGGGATGAGCAGGAAATTATTCCTAGGGCTGGAAAGCAGATAGTACAGATGGATGGGCTGGGGGGAACCCTTAATGTTAAGGCTTTCATTTTACCGTACCCCACGTGGCTGACAAAACCTGTTCCTACATAAGCCCTGCTGGTTTGTGTGATTGCAGGGCTGCCAATCCCTCCATGGCCAAAGAGAAAAGATGCATTCAAATGGTACTTACTAATAAAAGCATCAACTAGAATTCATGGCGCAGATCAGTATTTTTTCTCTTCAAGTAATAAAAAGTCACTGGCTGCAGGTGCATTTTTATAAACAAGGCAGTCACACTTTTTTTTTTTCTTTTTAAGCTCTATGAAAAAAATATTCCTTTCTCCAGTTTGGTTTTTCTCTCATTGGGTCCTCAAAAACCAGCTGGCGTGTCCATTAAGACTGTTTACGGGCACAACATAAGAGAGTCAGGAAGAGGTTGGTAAAAGATTGGAAGAACACGCTTCTCTCAGAGGTAACAGAGATAGGTCCTACACTGTAGGGGGCCCAGGAAAGGAGTCGTAGAGCCCTTCCTCAACATAGGCCTCTTTATAGTGAGATTCTTTGGGCGGGGGGAGTGCTTTGTGACATTTCAGACTCTGGGTTCTGGCATATTTACTGGTCATATGGTTCAGGAAGACCATATATTCAGTCTACAGTGATTTTGGCACTAAAGTCTTCTGAGTATAACTGGAATATTTAAAATAAAATTTGATTTAAAAGGTCATAACTGGAGAACTAACTTCTCAGTAGAAGAAACAGAAAGAAAAGTACATTCACCTCTACTTTCAAAGTGATAATAAAGGAAGAGAACTCACTCTCACATTTTCCTAATCTGTCTTGATTGATTACTGGGACTGTATTGAAAGTTAACTTCACACACTCAAAATAGGTTGAGGGCATATTGCTAGCTGTTTATGAAGGCAAGACAGTACCTTTCCCTACTTAAATTACTGTACTTCTCAGATGGGGAAATTAACTTTGACTTTCCTGGATTTAAAATTATGAGGGGCTGGTGACATCATTTTTAATAGTGGTAAATATTCCGGATGAGACTGCTTTAAATGCACCCTAGAGCTACCTTTCAAGGGAGGCCTTTCCTGCTCTTTGCCTTCCCTTCAAATTATCTCCCATACACTTACCTTTTTACATATTGCATTGTCCCCATCCCCTTCCCAGAGCCAAGCAATGACTTGCACTTAGCAGGGGCTTAATAAATACTTGCTGGATTGCACTGAGGAGGTCAACAGAGAGTTTTTCAATTAAGAGGATACATACCTCATAACTTGCAGTTAACCAAAATCCTCATTGGTGTAAGTTAAACAGAACTGACTGAAAGTGGTTGAGATTAGATGGGCCAACGTAAAGAGATTAATTTAATTCAATTCATTAAGTAATTACTGAATGCATACTATGAAGTTAAATCCTAGGGTCCCAAATAAAAATTATAGGACAGAATCTAATACTTTTGTTAAGTTACAAACCAATAAAGAGCTTTCTGGCTTCTTTAAATGAAGGGCTATTCGGTTTGTATTTTAATTCCCAAAGAAAAAAAAAAAGCAACCAAGTAGGGAAGTGTTCTCTCTTGCTCTGACATCTGCTTGCCCACCTTAACTTGGAACCAGCTGAGAGAAGGATCCTTTGAAAGTTCAAAGATTTATCCACTTTACCAGGTCTGAATTGTTAACTCTGTGTGGGGAGACTGGGGCAACAACCAGCAGGGTGGTGGCTCCTGGGAATACCTCCACTGGGTTCACCCTTGATAGACGCTTCCTGGGGGCTAACTGAATTAACTTTGTCACAATAAGAATCATGTCTTGGAGCTTTAGAAACACCTTTTGGTTTTGAATGACCTGAATGACCAAAACCATTTAACTACAAACTCAGGGTCATGAGTTATTTACCAAGCTGAGCAGAAAAGAGGTTCACCTCTTTTTCCCTCCCCTTCCTCATTTTCCCTTCTTTTTTCTTATCTTAGTCCCTTGTTTTATTCTAGTTTTTCCTCCTCCGTTCTTCCTTTTCTTCACTTATTTTATCTAAGGAAACATTGATGAAAAGTTATCCTGACCACAAACTTCCTCTTCTCCAGTGGCAACACATAAAGTGTACTTCCTCCTTAGCCTATACCATGCAATAAAAAATGTGGTTATCTGGGGACATATCTTAGTCACTTAAAAGAATGAATAGGAAAGTGACCTAACCAGAATGTCCCTAGGCACAGATGGCCCTATCTTGGGCACCAAGAGGGTATCTAAGGGAGAAATAATTCAGGTAGAATGACTTTTCTTCATAAGAGTACATCAACATGGTTTGTTATACTTACATATATTCTCAAATGGGAAAACATAAAAAGCCCGCTGTGCTCCGTGCGATCTACGGGTAAACAGGTTTCAGGAGACTGCTCACAACTCCCTTGGACTGTAAATTCCAACTTCCTTTGTGGGCACACAGTAACTATTTAAACACTACGTTTCAGTATTATAATGAAGGTATCCCTGAGGAGTTCTGACCCTGCTGGCTTGGTGAGGATGACTAAATCAGATCCAGCATGAAAGCTGCCATAACTTTTTTTTATCCCTGCTAGAGATGGCTTTGAACAAACAGGATAAACAATGTCAAATAGGATCTGACAAGAAGCAAAGGGAAAATAAGGGAAATCATTACTGGGCAATAACTTCTAAATTGCCAAAAATAAAAAAAAAACAAACTAAACCAAACAAACCACTCCAGTATCTTTTTTTCTTAATGCCTAAGAGGTTATATGAACCTCTAGCAGCGATCTCCTAGAGCTGAACTAGTAAAATAACTGGACTAGTTAATTTCGTACCAACATAATTGTTTCCCATTTCCCTATCTAGGAGGTTTTATTTCTGGTTAATGATCCCAGCCTTTCCCTGCAGAGGGAAAAATAGCAACATGAAAACATTTCAGAACATTCTCTGTGTGACCAACAGCAATTTGTTATAGATGTGTGTGTGTGAAGTCATTAACTTTCAGAATACTTCTCCTGTTTGGGAGGAAATGTCAACTCCCTCCAGCCAGGTGGGCCTCGCTTTCGCTCCTGTCCTTGAAGCCCCACACAAGGCTCACTTACTTGTGCCTCTCTGCCCTTCATGGCCTGCAAAGCCTCGCTCCAACCTAAACTCTTCAAACTTTATAGATTCTCTCAAGTCCTACCTCCAGCATGCAGGTAGAGCCCAGGGACTTGAGCTCTTAGTCACTTTTCTCCATTGGTCACTCTATCCCTTAGTCACCTACTGCCCAGGATTCACAATTTCTTGTTTCATGGGAATACATCTTGTGTTTCCAACTAGATAGTTAGTTCCTTAAGGCAGGGACACGTTGCACTTTTGGACAGAGTTGGTGATCAAAAAATGCCCTGTGGATAGGACTGAGGGAAGAAGGAAGAAACCTTATAAGAAGGTTGGAGAGATCTGATTTAGGCAGAGAACTTCATCACAGGATGGGTTAAGACTTCTTATCTTGGGATTGCAACGTGTAAGACAGGAAGTCACCCATCTGCTTATGAGAATTTAAGGCTGAGTTTTTTGCCTCGAAGCAAGAGGATAGGCTACATCTTATATTAAGCACCGGAACTATTGTGGAAAATAAAGTCTAATTGAATGAAATGAAATTGTAATGTGCTGAAATTTAAAAAAGATTATTTGAAGCAAATTTGGATTTTTATCAGCATTACAAGAAAACAGGGAAAGCTCAAAATATGATCTTTACTACTTATACAACAGATGGTAAACAACTTAAAAAAAAGCATATAGGTTGTTTGGTACAACAAATCTGTCATGAGGAGGGGAGGTTGGGGGAGAGGGTGATATGTAAACTAATGGATTGACTAAATAATGACTGGTGCTAAATTAAAAATAATACAGCAGAGAGTAAAATGGTAAAAATAAAATCACCACCCCCAAAATGAAGAAACTGCCAAAAAGTTGCTAGCTAGAAAAGGTGTTTTTCTCCCACTTTATTTGGTAATACATTTTCACAGAAACATGATATTATTTACAAATATACAGATAAGAGACTGCTGGTCAAAAATCTTAAACTGAAGAGGTCATCAAAAATCAATTTACAAAAACCTTCAATTGTCCAAGGGGGATCCAGGGTGGAAAATTCTGGCAGCGCTTGTGAGGGTGGGGCTGGACAGAAATAAGGTTTTTCTGATCTTCCAATTCCAATAATCTCCTACAAAAGGCAGCTGAGGACCAAACGCTCAGAGTTCTCTGATCCACAGCTGCAATGAGGCCATGGAAACTGTTTGCAAAAGGCCATCCCACGTGTTTTCCTAAGGAACGGTCAGTTCACTGGGTCTCAGGAGGCACTAGTTTGTATGTTTTTGGAAGCAGCAAGCATTGCTCTCACTTTGGCCATTAGATCCTGTTAAAAAGAAGAGAAGGTTGAGAACATTTTCATTAGTTTTCCATTAAAACAAAACATGTAGGTCTAAATAACCTTAGCAGGTAAATAATCCATGTAGTGAAAAGATTTCTGAAAATGCCCTAGGCACAAACATAAAACAGCGCTTTCTTTAAGTGACAAACACAATCGTGAACTAATAGAGTGGTGTATCAGCTTATACAAGAAAGAAATAGGAAATGGGGTCTTGGCTAACACTGCCCCACCAGCTCTCTACAGAATTCTGCACTGGTACAATCAAGCTCACAATTCAAAAACGGCTCATGGGGGTAAACAGAGGCTACACAAAGACACAATTCGTACATTCTGTGGAAAATGAGGAAGCTTAGGAGCTGGTCACTGTACCACTTGTATAAAATCAGGAATACGCAGCCTCCATCAAAAATTCACCTTCTCATTCTCCCTGCCCTGCAAAACTGATTCTAAAATTAAAGTGCTACACTGGCTAGATAAAAAGGCTTTGTATACATAAAAGAAAGGTGCTAAAGAATTACACTCTGTCTCTCTCGTTTTTATTACTGTGGCGAACTCAGTATCAACAGTCCAGGTCATCAGCCAAATGCACCTTTTATTATTTGCTGAGAGCTCTGTAATTATGATGCATAAACAAACCTTAGGTGAAAAGATGGGAAGAACACAAAGCTGAAGTCACAATACAACAACAAGACGTTTTGTGGTTGGAATCTTACCTGAGTTATTTTACTTTGCACTGAAGACACAATTGCTGAAGAGATCTGACCATCTTTTTCCTGAGAAACTCCCCTAATGGAAAGATTAATGAAGACATATTAAAAGTATCCTAAAAGCAACACTTTCTTGGGAAAATTAAAGACCAAGATAAATTAAAACTAAGACTTCTGAAAGGAAAGCCTAAACCAAAATCTACCCATTAGATGGGAAAAAAAGCATTATTAACATTTATGAACAAGATATCTAATTCCTTGCAATAATAAGTTTAATTTTAGATGAACTGTGGCTATTGGTAAGCATACCAATTCCAACATGTCATCCAAGGGCGGGGTGTGAAAAGTGGTTGCTATTCTTTCTAAGAAAATTAAAGGCTAACACAATAAACTCAAATAGGATATCACATTATATTAGCATCTTAATAACTAAAACTTAGTTAATATACGAAAGAAGCAGGCACTGCTTTCAAAATCTGGCACTAAGTGTCTGCCACTTTATGCAGCACCATGCCCAAGGAATTTCTGTAAACTGAGTCATTTAACCACGGACTTCGGTCATAAGGCCCTAGATGTTCTGTCTTAATTTCTGGTTGAGCTCTGACTAGCAGTGGTTCCTTGCAATGGAAATCTCCTGATCTCTTCTCCTAGTACTCAAGGATTTGGAAATAAATGTATTTGTAAAAGTGCATAGCAATTTGAAGGAACTCTTCAGTGTGTCCTAGTGTAAATAAATTAATCTTTTGCTATTGCAAAGATATCCAAATTTTCAATCTGGTATTTCTATGCGTGCAACTATTTACAGGTTTGATAATGATATATATTATGCAAATTTGTATAACAAAAAAATGTCCTCATTTTAAAAAAAGGGAAGAGAACAGACTCTAACCTATGGCTACAAATATCTGCAAAGTACTAAGCACAGTGCCTGGATCGTAGCAGGTGCCACGTAAACATTAGCTGCTGCTATCGCTATCATCATCATTATTGTCATCTGCAATCCAGTCCAATCTTCCCTTAACTTCATTCTAGGCCCAAATCTTTCCCCATTTGTAGTGTGCCTATCCAGTTGCAGGTCAGTCTGGGGAATGACCTTTGTTCATCTATTTCTCGGTTTCAGTGTGGGGTGGGTAGAGGGAGGCCCAATTCAATGAGGAAGTTTTATAGCTTGCTGCAACTATACAATATTGGCTGCACACAGCCATTTAGAGAAGCTCATCGTCAACGAGGAACTCTTATTTTAATGGCACTGGCAGTGCAAATCTTCCATTATACTGACATACGCCTTCTTTGAGAATGTCTCTTTGTTCTATGCTTGCTTCATATTAATAATACTCAGTAGATCACTAAACAAAGTGAAATCTCTAGTTCTTTTTGTCAAAATCATGAATCATTTACATATTTGACTGGGAGGTGCCTTGTTAAAGAAGACTCGAAGACTGCATTCTGTTGTACACAAACAAATGCTTAAAAAAAAATCAACAAACCACAGTGGAATGATCCTGTTTCTTCCAGTCAGTTGGATGACTGACCAGAGGCAGGGTCTGCTGCAGGAATTGTGAAGGCCTAAGGGTTCACTTCTCATGTTTTCAAGCAAACCTTCAGTGTGGGCATAGACTATTTTCATAAAGCTTGATGTAGAAGTGAAAAAGCAGGCATGTGAGCTGGTAGATGCTAATCTCGTCAGACTCTCCCATCTATTCCTTTTCGGTGAAAGGTCTGTCCCTCATGTTTTCCCCCCTTTTCTTTGAACATATCTTCAAAACAGAACTCCAAAGTGCCCTTCACATTATGCCACCTTCAGCACAAATCTCTTCTGTGTTTATGTGGCAAAATGCGACTGTTTCTTTTTATCACTGCCATTTCCTTAGGTCAGGGGCTGAAGCAGCATTTTATCTGCATCACTGATAAGAAAAGATCATTACAAAACATGGCAGACGTGTTACACCGTAGACATCCTTTTCACTATAAATGCTCTCAAGATGCTTTAGTTATGCAGAGTACCATGTCAGGCTCTAGGCAGCCTGGATTTTTCCTTAACTGTTTTCCCCAGTTCTCTGTGGTCTTCTTGGTTCATTTTCTGTTTTCCTGTTCTGTAATGTTTGACAAAGGAGCTTATGATCTGAGGTAGCACTGCCCTCTTTCTCCTGGACGAGAACATTTTTTCCTGGTTGAGGTTGTCTTTGCCTCTTCACTGGGACAACTATTTTCCATCAATTAAACTTCTTTAGGAAATGGTAATAAATGGCTTTAACTTTTCTTCATTCCCCATTTTTCACAGTAATAGCTAGCATGCATGTAGCACTTTAAGATGTGCAAAGTGCTTTACAAATACCATCTTATTTGAGCTACACAATAACTCTGAGAGGCAAGTGCTATGGTTACCTGGAAAGTGCAGCAGACAGAGGTAAAGAGACCTGCCCAAGGTCACAAAGTATGAGGTGCCTGAGGCTGCTTCTTGACTTCAGGTCTAGTTCCCCACTGCCCCTCTAGCTATCTCTAGATTAAACAGGTCACCATAAGGCCAACCATAGTTAGTATCTTCTTTTCATCCTGATCCTTTCTTCTGATGTTGTTTACATTGGCCTTTGCTCTACTCAATCTACATGATTTGATGGCAAAGAGAGTTATGGTTATGTAATGATTGCTGTTAACCTGTAACCTGTTGCTTCTCGTCTAAGATACAGTTAATTGTTTTTGAAGTTCCAATATCCAAAAGCTTCCAATTCATAAGTCTTTGACTTTTTTCATTTTTTAATCTCAAACTATACAAAAACGCAGTTTTTGCTTTGGTCCTTCTGCTCACTTTTGCACTGAAATCACTGAATATCAAGGTGATGTTGACTTTGTCTGGAAGGTCTTGTCAAGCTCTTCACAGAATTACACTACTTTTCCATCAGCTGTGATGGGCATTGTTACATAAGAAGCAATTGATTTAATGAAGATCTGGTTGCTTATACTCATCACTGGCAAGGCAAATCAAGATGACCAAGTGTCCCATTTTATGAAAGGATTTCTCTTGTTGCCTTTAGATGTACGATGAGAACAATTCTACCACATCCTTTACTCACCTCTCAGAACCTTGGAACTATCTTTCTATTTAGCTGTAATTTCTTTAAATTACAGTGAGTTTGCCAAGCATAACTATGGTTCGGTTCTTCCAGTTGTACTTAGATTAGACAAATATTTTACGAGGAGAGATAACAGTAAAATAAATGTTTGGAGACAGTCTAAGAATTATGTTTTGCTGTTTTTAAAAAAAAAAAAATCACCCACTGCCCCACTTCTGCTTCTCTGCCATACCATTACCTTGGCATGGAGGCCATTTTGTACTTTTGTCTATTTCATAAATAGTCATGTTTAAAAATAAATCAACATCTCGAGGTTGCCTTTCTGGTAATGAGCTTCTCTATTTTTTGCTTGGCTGGTCCTTTGAAGACAAAAGAATTTGCTGCCAGAGAACTTTGCCTTATATTTTATTGAGAAAATTGATGTCATTTTGTCATGAGCTCCCTCTTCTCTCCACACCTTACCCCAATTCTCTTCTCCTTTGAGGAAATAGTTCTTCTCTTTGTCAAGGCCAAGCCCTCTGCTCCCATGGTCTCCAAAGCTTGCCTGCCCCTTTGATGATCTCTTCTCTCTTTCCAATATTCCATTTCTCTCTGCTGTCCACAAAAATGCACGAGTCTTTCCTATCCTTAAGAAACCTTCACTTAACTCTAACACCCTTTACTGTACTCTCTCTCATCTTACAGCCATACTCTTAGAAAAAGCTGTCTAAACTTGTAGCCTCCACTTCCTCACATCCTGTTCATTTATCAGTTCCTTGTAATCTGGATTTTGACTCATCTTTTTTAATTTTTATTTTTTTTAGAGGTTATCAATGATTTCTTAACTGTTAAGACAAACGGCTGTTTCTAGTTCTCATCTTCTTGACCACGGTGCAGTGTCTGACAATGCTGAACATCACCTCTTCCTCCTGGGTATTCTCTCTTCCTGAGCCTCTTGGGACACTGCTCTCTGTTGGTTTTCTTCTTGTCTTTTTGACCAATCCTTCTAAGACTCTATTGCAGGATTGTCATCCATGGCCCAGCTCCAATGGGTGGGTGTATCCTGAGACCTTCTGATCTCATCAGCTTCCATGGGTTCAATTTACCTCTATGCAGATGACTCTCAAATCTACTCATCCAGTCCAGCATCTCCACTTGGATGTCCTGTAAGCATCTCTAACCATGTCTAAAACGAACTTATTATGTTCCCCTTGAAACTCATCTCTCTCCCTAACTTCTCTATTTGTATTTAGGGCGCCATCATTTTTCTAGTTACCCAGGATAACAACTTTGGAGTCATCCCTGACTCCCTCACCACTCCTCCACTACAAGTAGTTGTCAAGTACTGACAATCCTAGCTCCTCAATTATCTTTCATTCACTATTTCTCTTTACTCCTATGGCCACCACCAAGTCAAGTCTAAGTCGAGCCATCAAAGTCCCCCATAATCTAGCATGCCATACTGTTTTTTACCTGACTTCCATGTATTCCACATTCTAACCCAACTGGCCCAGATTCTTTGTCCACCTCTACATTTCTCCAACTATTTTCTTTCACTTGTGTCATTCTCTATCCTGGGAATGTCTGATCCACCCCCTGCCCCACCTTCACTTGTAATAGAACGTCTCCTCATTCTTTAAAATCAAATGAAATGCTACCTCTTCCATGAAGCCTTCCCTGACCTTCTCCTTTTTGATAAATACCCCTTCCCTTCAAGACTACACAAAGTACTTTGTTGTGTACCTCTCTAATGTACTTGCCATGTATAATTTGCATTATTGTTACGTGTGTACTTACTTATCCGTCTAGTAAGTGCTATGACCTCCTTCTAGAATTTCTAAGTTCCACAAGGGTAGAGGCTGTGTCTAATTTAAACTCTTTATCATCCTCTGCACAGAACACGGTATTTTATATGTGGAAAACACATGTGCTGAATTTAACTGAGTAATAAGTAAAATAAATACAACTCCAAAGATTGACAGAAATGAGACTGCTATCCTATCCTTTGCTTTATCTCCAAGATTACCAGGATGAGAGATTAACAGTGGGAAGGAATCCTTTCATTTTAAAATGGAATAAGTGCCCTTTGATGCATGTGATTTGATGAGCTGAATGTTTTAAAGTGCCTCACTTCTCACTAAGAGAATGAGGGACCCTGTTACAATAAACTCACTGAGCATTTCTGCCAGCTGGTTAACTAGCATTACACCCAAAGGGCCCAATCCATGCCCAAGGTCCTGGATTTCTTTGCCCTATGGTGAAGGAGGAGCTTATTACCTGGAGCGCTCTTGGCTGGATTCTCTACTCTCCACAGGAGAGATGCTGGTTGAATGGGCCGAGTTCTTGTGTGCAGCCTGTTTGCTCGGTGACACTGACTGTGACCTTGCCTTGGACTTGGGACGTGACCGAGATCTTCTCTTCTTTTTCTTCTCATGGGGACTTCTGAAAAGAAAGCATTAGTTTTTATTTAAAGACAAAAACTTGTATTCCAAATGATGCACAAGTTCAGGCAGGGCTGATGGTCTAGTTTAGAGAAACTTCTTTGAATGAGAATGGCCCTTTATACCACATCATTGATTCAACTGCTCATTGTATACCTCTGTTTTAAAGCTACATACCTTTCCTTAAACTGATGGCTTAAGAAATCTGTGATAGTGTCACTACGAATGAAGACATACTGGGAAAACAATTTCTTCTAGAGAAGGAAGTTTTTATTCATATCTGAAGATTTCAAGAAAAACTCATGTTTTCAGCCAGGCAGGACTTTTTATTTAAGAAATGTAAGATAACCAATCATCAAATATCTAAATATTATGTCTCATTCAGTACCTAGCACAGTGCTTTGTATAAAGAAGGTTCTCAAAAAGTGTTTGCTGACTTGTTTAATTCCGATTTAAAGTTTCCTAAAAGAAAATGATAGTTTCTATTTTGTAAATCTGGATGTGCTGAACTAACAATCTTAAGTATGACTTACTAACCACTGTGAATAAATGGCAGCGATTGCCACTGAAATATCCCTGTCAGAGAGAAGGCCCACGTAGGATGTTTCAGTGTGGCTCCTTTCTAGCTTTGTTTCTAGTCAATTCAACTAACACTTACTGATGCTTATCAAGTGCCGAGCCTTGTGTGGAAAAATGGAAAAGTAAATAAGATATTTTTCTATGCCCTCAAAAAGCTTACTGCTACCTAGTAGTGAAACTAAGGAACTGTGATGTTATGGCATGTGGGAGGTATGGCTGAATGAGAGCTTGGGACTATTTGTCTTATTTTTCTCTATGTAACCCTACTGCTTAGCACAGTATTCAGCATATAGTAAGTACTTAATAAAGGTGCCCCTTCCCCGCCGCCATGCGCCCCCCTGCCCCCAATCACAGTGTTTTTCAGGACTTTTAAGGGTGGGTCAGATTTTGCTAAGTGGAGGTAGTGGGACAGCATTTCATGTGATGGAAGTCATGTTATGAACAGTTGAAAGAAATGGAAAAGTTTAGTCTGAAGAGAAGATGAAGGGATAGAAGTGGAATTAAAGTTATCTCCAAATATATCAAGGGGGGGGGAGAGACTGTTCTCTTGAAGACTTGTTCTACAGATCATGAGAACTAAATGGATAGATAACAAAAAAGAAATACCTTTCAATGATTAAATCTATCCCCAAGTGCATTGGGCTACCATGTAAGGTAGTGTGATGTCTGCCACTGAATGCATTTAAGCAGAAACTAGATGACAGAGATGCTATAAAACTGGTAAAAGATTGGACTAGATGACCTTCAAAATTATCCTAATTCTCAGAATGATCTAATATATCATTGTAATTTGTTTTATTTAGTAAAGAAAAACTGGACTTAATAGCAATTACTAGGTTCCATGATCAGATAATAATTTAATAGTGAGTCTTACTAATAATGAACCTGGATTTCAAGATGATAAAGCACAAACTTTGTCAGCAGAACCCTACAAAGGGGGCTGTAAGAAAGAAGATGTAAAATGTTGCTTTTCTCTCAGATTAAGCTGTACACAGTCAATCTCCAGTGATGATCTGGGTGCATGGCATGGCTCAGAATGCTGCGATTTTAGCTAGCTCAGGATCAGAGAGATCAACTACAGACTTATATTGCCCTTTGATACAGACTATAACATGAGGACGGGATTGAGAGGAAACAGAAAAGTCAGTACACCTGGCTTTTAGATATTCAATTTAACCACTGCTCTTGCTTCTGAAACATGAGAATGCCTTTATGGGCAGCATGTATGACAACCTGGAAATAGGTATTAAATTTTAGAATTCACACTTACAGCTTGTCCTCTAGCCAGTGAGGCATCCCTTATAACAAAGAATAAAAAAGCAAAACTTGCTGGTCTGGTAAAAGGCTACACCCCCATCCAAAACCTTTCCCTAAAGAAGACAGGGAAGTGCATCATCCTCACTTCTCCAGGAAGGGCTAACCTCAGTCGTTACAATCGAAGAGCTTTTGTCATTCTTTTTACATTAGTGCAGTCACTGGGCATCTTTTTACCCTGGTTCTGGTTATTTCAGGTTGTGTCTTCCTAAAGTTCTCTGGCTTTTTCATTTTTTGTGGCACAGTCCATTCCCTTCACATTATGGGATTGGGTGAGTCTTTCCTCAGATGTTTGGCACATCCACTGCTCCTTGTTCTTTGCTGCCACAGCTATGAATATTCTGATGTCTACGAGACCTTTCTGTCTCATTTCCTAGGGGTGGATGCCTAGCAGGTGGTTCTCTGGGTCAAAGGATACGAACATTTTTGTCATTTTTAAAAGCATCATTTCAAATTACTTTCCAAAATGGTTGGATCATTAATTTATAACCCCTCCAACCTTGACTATTTACATATTTTGTCACCTTGCCAATTAGTTGGGTGTGAGAGGTGAAGCCTTAGAGCAAACTATTTATTTGACATAGCATCAATATGAAGAGTTAATAGGAAAAAAGACCAACAAGCAGAGTGTGGTGCAATGTCATCGAACATTCAACTTCTTCAGGGATGACTGCAAATTAAATTAATTAGGTTAGCCTTTGTTTCCTTGACTGTCATTAAATTAAACAAAAAAAGAAAAAAAAAGAGCTTAGTTCACCTAGAATGAGGTGAAATGAATACAGTAGCAATTTTAATTTTAGGCCTCTAGTTAGGAGTATGAAAACAGACTGTTTTAGGTGACAATTTTATTATAACTTACTATTCCTGATATGTGTGTGATGTGTCAATGAAAGAATAATCAATCTGTATAATATAATTCAACTGTTTAAAAAGGATAAAATAAATTTCAATTTTTTTTTCCAATGAATAGAATTAGACAAGCTTTATTTGGGGTTGGAAGGCACTATCTGATATTTGTAACATTCACCTCCCCAACCATGTATTGATTATGTTAATACCACAATAAACTTCTACTCATTTAACATTCTTGCTAGGACATAATGGTATTGTTTCCCCATCTGCTTCATCAAATCCCTTCTTCAAATACCCTAACCTTGAAATCTTACATACCTAATTTTCTCATTCATCAACAGTTCAGCTCTAAACACTCCTCTCTCCCTATGCTGTCAGTTGCATCATGATTTTAATACACAAAACTGTGGCAAACGTCAAGCCTGACTCTTACTCGCTAAGAACCATAAAAATGCTCAGGGAGAAGGGAATACACATTTGTATAGTGCCTACTATATGCAAGACATTGTGCTAAGAAATTTTTGGAAGCAAATATTTCATTTGATCCTCATAACAACCCTGGGAGGTAAATGCTATTATTATTCTCCCCCCCTCCCCCTGCCATTTTACACCTGAGGAGAAACTAAGGCAGATAGTAGTTAAGTGAGAAGTGTCTGAGGCCAGATTTGTAATCGGATATTCACTGTACAAGCAGCTGCTCAGCTACGTAGAGTAAATAATGACAGCAATGAGGGAGTAAAGAACTCTGCCTCAGCAGGACAACCAACAGAAACGGTGGGCCTGGGAAACCCACTCTAAGAAACAAGTTGTGGGTTTCAGTGTGGTTGCCTCAAAAATGTAGGCTCCTAATAAACAATTACAAAAATATGCAAGACAGGAGGCAGCATGTGCCAACCAAGTCAAAACACTACCACACTGACTGTCATTTCCCCTCAGATCTTAGAAACAGACTCATTTATTATTAAATGTTTCATTTATCCATTCCAGGATAATTTAATGAAAACATTTAAAAAAGTTACAGTTGAATCTACTCAAGTATACAAAAGACATGTATAAATTCAATTATAAAATGTTCCTTAAAGAAATAAAGAACTTAAATACCTGGAGAACTATTAATGCTCATGGCTAGGCTGTGCCATGTAATAAAGATGAAAATACCACCAAAATTGATTTACACTTGTAATGCTATACATCAAATTATCAAAAGAATACCACATAGAATTTGACACATAAAACAGCAGTCATCAAAACCATTTGGTATATGTTAAAAAATACAAGGATCAGACTAAACAAGCAATAATCAGGAACAATTGAACTCAATAATCTAGTTGTGCTGTAAGAAATGATGAATGTGATGAATATAGAGAAGCCTGGAAAGATCCACATGAACTGATGCAGAATGAAGTAAGCAGAACCAAGAAAACAATCTACACAATGACTAGAATAACATTAAAGGAAAGAATAACTACTCATACACAAAATGAAATGTGAATGTTGCAAAATTATAAGGAACAACCAAGGTTTAAAAGACACGGGAAGACATTTCCCTTTCACCCCTTTGCAGAGGTGGGGGAGCTGCACATTGCACAGATTTTCACTTCTTTTTAAGGTCTTGAGCAGTTAAGCTGATTTATTCTTTTTCTCCTAGACAGCAATATAAACCTATTTTAAAAAAGTTATAGTTGAACTTAGTATACAATGATTTTTGCCATAGTAAAATTACTTTGATGGTTTTTTTTTTTATTAAGGCAATTGGGGTTAAGTGACTTGACCAGTGTCATGCAGCTACTAAGTGTCTGAGGCTGTGTTTGAACTCAGGTCCTCCTGACTCTAGGGTCAGTGCTCTATCTGCTGTGCCACCCTTTGACAGTTCTCTAATGGTTGGTATGTAAGGATTTGTCTAGTACATTTATGCAACAGAACATCACAATTCAAACCTCCCAATGACATACTGTATATTTTTTAAGTTCCAACTCACATAACACCTCCTCCATGAAGTCTCTCTGATTTTTATAGCTGGAATGATTTCTCACCCATCTGATCTTATTATATTCCTTTCAGGCATTCATCATAGTCAAATTTTTATTATATTTGTCTATGGTTCTGTCTTACCTATCTCTTAAACTAGTATTTTTCAGGGCAGGGCCAGAACTTACTTAAATATCACTGTCTCTCCTCTCATGCCTAGTATACTGTGTTGCCCAGGGCAACATTTCAGCAAACATTCCTATTCAGAAACCAACAAGTAACGTGCTTATTTAGGACTGAGATAATCTATCCAAGTCCTATTCTCATGCTTGGTTGTTTTGAAGTAGGCCAGCCAAGCCTAAACTAGTGTGATTGTCATGAGGAGCACGTTGTATAGGCAGAAATGAAACGGCTGATCCACCCTTTCCAAAGGTATGGGTAATTACCTTCCTCAGCCACAAGGGCAATGCTGAGGTGATCCTGCACAGATCATGCCGTGAAGTTTTTAATAATTTAGTTGCTGCTTAGCTAAAAGCAGCAATTTTGTTCTAGATTAGGGAGAGGTCCTCCAAAACTTAAGGTTTTTCCCTTTTTATTTAAGTTCTTCTTTGTTAGCAATAAACGTTTCAGAACGCTCACATGGTACATTCTAGGAGAAAAGGCTAGAGCAATAATATGTTAAAAATTGGATCTCTTAGGCCGAGTACAGAAACAAGGGAGAACACTCCTTGGAGAGAATGTTTGGTGGTAGCTCTATAGAAAGAGGGCAGAAAATTATATTCCTAATGTCTGCTGGTACACAGGGGTATGGAGTATCCTGGTGGACTGTGGGATGTAAGACCCACAGTATTGCACTAGTGACCCCTTTTTATGCCCTTTACTAAAGATCTCAATAAATGAACAAGACTAGGTCTTTCCTCAGCCACATTCAGGCCAATATCAACAGAGGTATCTGATAACCAAAATGTAGACTGTGTATAATTGCATTTACAAAGTGGCAACTCAAAATAGTTTCTGCCTTTTTGAGGCAGCTGGGTGGAGAAAGTATTGTGGGCTCACTTTACAGGCACCAGAATTGACCTGTGCCACTGATTTTCCTTTGATTATCAACTCACCTTAGTTAATTCCCAAACACTTTTATAAGAAGTCAGCATAATTCAATAGAAAGGTCCTACCTATGGGATACTGGGTAAGTCATTTTACCTCTCCGGGCCTCAATCTCTTTATCTGTAAAATAAGGTCGGGGAAGTCACTTGATAGATAACAGATTCGTACCCCAAATGTTGCAATGGTATCTTTGAAATATTAAGAGACCAATTGGAAGGCTTCTGGGACACATTCTTCATGGAGGATTATAAAAACTGCATGAGTAGAGGGAGCGTTTATCTACACAGATGAGATTACAGATTTAAAAAAGTATTAAAATAATAATCATACTACCTTTTCACAAATTTGGTATGAGTAAATGTTGAACTGTTATTATCCAGCACGCAAATTTCAACTTCTTTTCCAAATGGGAAAAAAACCCCCCTTTCCCCAAGACACCTGGAGCGTGTGCGTCTCCGGCTGACCCCTGGGCTGTTGCTCAGACGGTAAGCTGTTGGAACACTTCTTTCTTCTCTTCTTCTCTCAGGAGAGTGAGCTCTTCTTCTGGGCGACCTTGACCGTGACCTGAATGAAGATCAGTAGCTTTATTCACTGGCGGTTTTGATCTGACCCCTTCACATTACTTCTCTATCACTCCAGTAGTAATCAGACATCATCTAAGCCTACAAAGGACTAGGCAGAAGGTTCTTGAAGATGCGGTTATTATAAAGCTGTCCACATGGACTAGGCTGTGTCACGCCAGAAACCCCTATAACCAGGTTCACAAGAACCCTTTCTTCTCTTTCTCTTCACTCAACCACCTAAATCTACAGAGTAGATTTCTTATCTGTGCTGAACTTTCATCCCAAATATAACTGAAGTTGGAGTTGTCTGCTGCTTAGCCAATTCTCGATTACAAGTCTGATGATATAATTTATGGATTACTTAGGCCTTATGCTTCATTTTCCCCTTTCCTATTTTTTCTGTATTTTCCCTCATTAGTAGATTTTATTACAGACTGGATATGAGAAAGGCATTACAATTCAAAGTAGTTAATTTTATTTGCTGCGATTTCAAGTAAAAGGTTTGCTTGGAGGCTAAAATAAAGTTTGGGAATTACCTGTGAATTTCATTTACCCATGCTATCCCTCTGTCCCATTAGTATGGATAATCAAGGATTGGCAGCAGTTCTCACTGGGACGTGGAATTTACCCAACTCTCTAACACCTAATTCTTTTTCTGGCTTGAAGCCTAAATACTTCAACCCAATTCTGAATATGTCTTTCCAAATTAACATTAAAGCACCACTTTGTTTTTAAGCTCGTAAGACTTCCTGGAAATTGTCTACTCCAATGAAAACTTTGGCAATACTTCTCATGTGCCTGAGAGAGATGTCTTTTATTCATCCAGCACCACAACCTGCATAAACCAACAATAATCTATGAATGGTACTTCCACCTGGGACACTAACCCACTTTAGAGTCAGAGTCCTTAACATAAGGCCACTTAACAATGGCTTTAGGACTTCTCTATTGCATTTTTTTGTTCATTCAATAAAATTATACATTTTCAGGAACACATGCAATAATCAATTGGAAAAAAATCATATCTTCCCTTGTTTCCATAACAACCCACTTGAAAACAATCTAAGAAGAGCAGCTTGATTTTGCCACTTAAAAAAAGACTCTACATTGATTCATTTTACTTACAATTAAAAAAAAAAGTTGTTGCAGAGACCAATGATGCATTAAAATACCAGTTATAATCACATTCCACCCTCTAGATTCATACAGAAAAAGCAGAGCCATCCTTCAGGAAATATAGCAATCGAACAGATCCCTTTCTGGTACAAACTATGGCATCCAATCAGTTTTAAGCTCTTCTCTCATGTAATTCTTCATAACTTAGAAAACTATTTTTTTCTCAGACCTTTCTTAAGATTTTTAAGACAGATTACAAAGGTTGAGGTCAGTTAGACACCTTGACATTTTACCAGGTTTTCCCTCAAAAGAGCTCCAGGAGTCAAATCTTTTCGTTGTCGAAGCTGCCTGATAACTGTCTTGATCTGTTGCTGCTGCCACTGATGAGCTGCTCTGACATGGCTCCGTGCTCAGTGTCCCTGTGGAGGCTGTGGGTCTGTGATATGGAGGCACACACTTCACATTCAGAATAAAATGTGCTAGATTTGGTGTTAACTAGAATCCTGAAAAAGCTCTGTACCTTAATCAAAGCTCTATTATCACCTTATGGAGCGCTTACATGTACACGTCTAACAAAACCCTCATATTATTAGCTTTTAGTGCTTGTGAATGTATGATTCGGGTACCCCAGTAACACTTTGTAGCAATTTGAAATGGAAATGGCTATTAGCATTAGATTTCAAAGCATTTTGGAAAAAGGCTATTTAAAAATTCAGCTCAGTAAACTGCATGAGATATTTTAAAGTTTTATATTAATTACAGCAGCTCTCATGCTTCGTATACTACTAATTAGGTTTTTACAATGGCCCTATATCCAAATCTTTGAAAACCACAACAAAGCTAAAGAAACTGACATTCTATCTTATTAGTAAACCAGCCAAATAAAGTAAATGGAGGAGTTTTCAAAAAACTTTGTCTGAATTTGCAGTCTTTCAAACATGATCTCCGCAAAAACTCAAATTCATAGGTAAAATAGGTTACCATAAAAATGAAAACAAAGCATCATTTTAAGATTTGCTTAAATTACTTTAAAAAGAAACTTCAAAAGTTTTAGTTGAAGGAAACAACTATAACATTTTTTCAAAACTTCTTTCACTAATCTACAACTATCTCACCTAATGCATTTTAGTTACGGCTAAAAGACCTTTAAATGAGTAAGCTGAGTTTATTTAACACCAGATCGCTAGGATAATAAACCAAGAACAATACTGGGGATGTTTTTAGCTTCTGGTTCTCTTGAAATTTAAATGGTGGATGTAGTTTTAATTTACAAATCATTCATGTTTTACTAGATAATAAGCTTCTGGGCTCAGGTCTCTTTTCCTACATATACAAATACACGCATAGCTTGGCTTTAGAGGTCTGGCTTAAAAAAGAAGTGTGCTCATGTGAACACAGTCAATATTTTTATTTACAGGTTTAATCCCTCTACCTGCATGATCAGCAGACTGAGCTCATCACAGGCTATTTTGGCTTTGATCTCCCAAACTAAAACATGATCCTGCTGCCTTTGCAGGCTTTCGTCTGGTTGTGTGTCTGGCGTTTACCTTAATATTTAAAGGAGCCAAATGTGAAGTCGAGATGAAAGCATTTAGAGAAACAAATCATTTATGATAAACATAGAGAATATGGAATCACATAGCTCTACTATATGGAAGCTGACAAACTTCTGAGTCAAAATCAGGAAATCCAAGGAACTAATTAATAAACAAGATCTAGGTAACAAAATTAGAATAGCTCCAAAGATAAATTCAGAGATTACATACTACTAGATAAGTACAACTAAAACTATAAATCCTCTTACTAAAAAAGTTTTGAAAATTAAATTGGAAAGATAATAGATACATTATTATTAATTCAAATTATAGAATTTAAACTTCAGACAACAGTATTAAGCTGTGTGAAATACTTCTAAAAATAATTTATTCCAAAAGACAAAGGAAATATTCACAAATGAGACTCAAGAGAAAATGCAAATGAAAACAATAAAAAGTGAAAAAAAGAAACCTTGCATTTAATGTTGGTTTAAGAAAAAACGGCATATCTTTCACTCTATTTTTTGAGAAGCGTTATACTTTTCCTAGAAACGCATAATCATGTGAGAGATTTTCACTTGTGGGATCTGTAGGTATTCTACAGCTAACGCATGTGATACACAGGATTTTAGTAAGTCCACATGCACAATGATGTTATAGGGTTATTCCCAATTCCTCCCTCCCGCCCTGGTAGAACATATGCCAGACCTCATCTCACTTTATTGCTTAGATTGGCTAATTTCAAAAAGAAAACATATTTCAACTATAGCATAGCCCCATCTAATCAGAAATGGCAGAAGATGGAATCTTTAATTTTCAGCTGGTAGCACTCCTTTCAGAACCACCATATAATTTAAACTATCCCAGAATTCCTAAGTTATTTATTCTGCAATATGTAGACTCTCATATCTGCAATGGATTAACTATTTTAAAGAAAAATATTTCCAAATTATGACAGTAGCATCAAGGGTCAATAAATTTTGAGGAAAAAAAAAATCCCTATTCACACATTTGAATATTTTACGTATTATTGTGAAAAGTAACACCCCCACCCTCATTTTAGAAATGTTGAATTTCTATGCTATTCAGATGTCCAAAAAACATTACAAATAATGGCACTGTGCAAGTGGAGAAATTAGGTGGCCAAGGGCTGCTACCAGCAGAGAAGAAAAGGAATTAATACTGAATGCAACTCAAAGCAGTCATTCTACACTGCTAAGGCTGAGACAGGAGCCTGCATAAAGGAAGGTAATTAAAGGCAGGGAGCCTGGGATTCTGGAGGCATTACAAACCAGCACCGGCCCTTCAGCACAACTGAGGCTCTTACGCTCCTCTCACGGAAGGATGGTTAGGATTACAATAGGTCATTCAGTATCATGGGACCCCCTCTACAGGATGGAATACAGGGAAATGAAGGACAAAGGAGAAGTGTCATCATTTCCAGGGATAATTACTTGGTAAAATGTTAAACAGTAAAAATGTCTACCTTAACCAATTATTACTGAGGGCATCAATTTAGCTTTATTTTTGTTGTCCTGCAAGTTGCCGGACATCACTTTACGCCTATAAAAAGCAAAGCCTCCATGGACTGAAGTTTTGGACCAGTCAATTCAGCTAAACCTTGATTTGACTGATGATTTTTAATGAACTGATTGATTTACTGACTTATTGGCCAAAGTGACCACTTTTTTTTTGTAGCACTACAAAGAATTGTGTTTAGAGCTATGAAAATACTTACTGTTACTTTGATACAATATTTTCATGCTTATATAAAACATTTTACACAAAAGGAGAAAATCTAGAATAAGAATACACTTCTTGAATATATCAGCACTGGATAAACACACAGTCCTTTTAGATATACTAACAAAGATAGATTTCATGTTTTATAGATAGTAAATAAACTGACACTAAAGCTAAAAACTTACAGCTTAAGTCTCAGAGTAAATACTTTTAACTTCTGAATGTAACCACTTAGAAAACAAAGTGTGTAACAATTACAGCACCATTTTCTTAATTAAAACAGAGCAGGCAGAACAAATGTAAACATTGTAAATGGAAAAGTTTTACTAAGAGATGTTTGAATTAATCCTGAAAGAAGATTTTCCTATGACCAACTTCTCATACTTAAGCAACAAAATAAACATTCTATTTTATCTTCACACTGTTAACAGTGCTTAAGACTGTGGACTTTCTGAGTACTGTAATAAAGAACTTGCTGTATAAACTACAGCCCTCTGCTGCTCTAGAAAGAGTACCACTGGACTTGCTATAATGATTATAATGACTTTTCTGCATCTGTGTGACATATCCTCAGCCATATGCTACTGTTTAAGCAGTATTTTCACGTGAGAAAGAAAACACAAATGTCCACCAGGGGCTTTGAAAGACAGACAAGAGGAGCAGCAAAGACAGCCAAAACATCCAAAGGAGGCAGGTTTGGTCATTATCTTTTCCTTTAACCCCTCACCCTTCCAAACTTTCCAAACCCAAGTTATGGGTCTTTTTAAAGTTTTTTTCTGAGTCACAATAGGGCGAAGTCCACCCATCCTACACCATGGAACTTTAAAGTGCTTTTATATTAGGGCAATATGCAGCATTTGGCCTATTTTTTATTTTTTTTTAAAACGAGGACAGGAAAAATCCATCTTTTTTCTTGAAAAGAAAATTTACAAAAACCAAAGCACCAATTAATGAAGAATACATGAAATACAAGTTAAAAAGTTTAAAGAAAACTGAATTAAATGAGATGCCCCCCCTAACTTCCTAAAAGCAGTCACTCTACTATAACAAAGCACTGAATACTATGACTCACAAAAGTCTAAATGCCTTTTATTTACACTGTCAGAAGTACTAATTTTGTTTACTTCCTTTGCCATTTATTCTTCAAACACCAGATTAAAGAGAAAGGACCTTACTCCTGAAGTCCATCACATGAAAACTGTTTTCACAAGATAGTGACTGCCACAGGGAGGTTTAGAAAGACCAGCTTTAAAAATAAGCAAAACAAAACAAGATGAAAAAAAAAAACCAAACCAAACCACTTTTATTATACTTTTTAAAACCTTGTGAGTTTTTCATTCACATACACCTCCATGTGACTATGCAGAATGAGTACACATTTGTAATTCTACTAGCAAAGATTTCTTTGGTATCGAAATCTAGCATCAAAAAAAATGAGACAGTAAGGAAGAGTTTATAGAAAAAAAAAGAAATATGGGACACATTCATTAATCTACTTGATGATAGATGAGTTGTTAAAATCTAAACCATTTTTAAACTGTCCTGATTGGAGGTGTTGAATAACCCTCCCCCTACCCTATAAGCTCCCTTAGGGCAGGTTTTATGGCTTATTTATCTCTGTATTATTTTGGAAACTCCCCAATACTAGGCACTCAATAAATATTAATGGAATTGAAAAGATTATCATGGAATACGCTGAAAGTAAAAAGAAAAAAAATACCTTTCTTCATTATCATTAACTATATTTACAAGGATTTAATGAAACAGTCCAATTTTCTCTTAAATACAAATTGATTTGAAAAGTGAAGAAAAAGACTATTTTTTTGCAGAACTCACCTTGACCGTCGGACAGTTCTATAGGCACTGGGAAGAGAATGCTTTGCTTTTGAATGTGATCTAGACCTGGACTTAGATGATGAATGGTACTTGGGAGAGCGGGATCTTGTCCGAGACCTTTTTTTGTGCTTTTTCTTTTTCTTTTCCTTTTCTTCTTCTCGGGGAGGATCTTTACTTTTGCTTGAAGGCCTTTCTGGTGGCTTAACTTCCAAAGCTGGAAGAGGTCTCACTCCAGTCAGTAAAGTACATGGCATATTACTGACTTCCTGAAAGAATGAAGCCAATAGCTGGCTGTTAAAAAAAAAGGCTGCCGTGGTGGCCTGAATGTACAGTCAAAAGCCCCAATGTAAAGAATGACCCCATCACACTAGTAAAACACCTTTACTCTACACTTGTTCGTCTGCTCTTCTCCCCATCCTGATTCCTTGGGGAACCTGTTTAATTCTATGGAGTCTTCTTCTTGAGTCTCTGGCCCCCTTTAGCCTTGGGTCACTCTCACCATCTGCTACCATCCTCCATGTTTGCTGCTGAATGTAGATGGAGATAATCACCCAACCATTTTGAGTGGGTCCACTACAAATTTATGTTACACAAGCTCAACTGGGCCCTCACAATCTTCAACACCTCCCTAATTAATTCACTGTTCCACACTGGCTTTTCTAAACCCTGTTCACAGCCATGATTCCCTTTCCCCCCACCCTCTTAGCCAAGGATCTTGTCTCACATCTTATGGAAAAAAAAGGCCATTCACCAAGAGCTCCCTCTTTTCCCTTCCCATCTCCCGCCACCCAGATGCCATCTGCCACCATCTGTGCCTTCACCCCTGTCTTATGTGAAAAGGTAGCTTTACTCCTTGTCAAGATTAATTCCTCTACGTGGAAATGAGGACTTCTGTTTCATCCTGTTTCCTCCAGCAGACTGCCTCCCTTACCTCCCTTATCCTCAACCTTTGCTTATCTCTCTAATGGCTGCTCCTCTACTACCTACAAATATGTCCACTTTTCCCCCCACACTAAAAAGCTCTCACTTGATCCTTCTGTTTCCACTATTGCTCTGTATCTCTTCTGCCTCTTGCAGCTAAACTCCTTGAAAAGGCTGTCTACAATAGTTGTCTCTACTTTTTCTCCTCTCACTCTCTTAACCTCTTATAATCCATCTTCTGATCTTATCATTCCACCAAAACTGCTGTCTCCAGTTATCAATGGTATCTTAGTTGCCAAATCCAATAGCCTTTTCTTAATCCTCATTCTCTTTGACCTCTCTGTAGCCTCTGACACTGCTGATCACTCTCTCTTTGGTATTCTCTTCTCTCTAGATTTTCAGGAATCACTCTCTCCTGGTTCTCCTTTTACCTATCAGACTGCTCCTTCTCTGTCTCCTTTGCTGGATCCTCATCTAGGTCACACCACCTAACCACAGGTGTCCCTCAGGACTCTGTTTTGGGACCTCTTCTTTTCTCCCTCTATACTACTTCATTCGGTTGATGAGATCATCAATTCCCATGGATCCAATTACCACATTTATGATGATGATTCTCAAATCTACCTTTCCTTCTCCAATCTCTCTGTTGACCTCCAATCTCACATCTCCAACTATCTTTCAGACATTTCGAATGGGATGTCCAGCAGACATCTTAAATTCAATTATGTCCAAAACTGAACTCATTACCTTTCCCACTAAATCCTTCCCCTTTCCAAACTTCCCTATTACTATAGAGGGCAACACCATCCTTCCAGTCCCCCAGGTTGACAACCTAGGTGTCATCCTTGTCTCTTCACTATCTCTCACCTCCCATATTCAATCTGTTGCCAAGGCTTGTAGATTCTGTCTTTGTAAAATCTCTGGCATAGTCCCCTTTCCTCTGATACTGCCACTCTTCTGGTAGAAGCTCTTATCAACTCACCCCTAGACTATGGCAATAACCTGCTGGTCTGCTTTTCACAAATCCCTCCCCTCCTCACTCTACCCAACTGCCAAAGTGATTTTCCTAAAGAGCAGGACCAACCATGTCACTCTCCTATTCAATGAACTCCACTGATCCCCTATCATTCAGAATCCTTTGTTTGGTGTCTAAAACCCTTTATAACCTAGTCCTCTCTGCCTCCACCTTATTCTCCCACCACAAACTCTTTGATCCGATGACACTGGCCCCTTGCCATTCCACAAACAAGATACTTCTGTCTTTAGGCTCAGGGCATTTTCTCTGGTGTCTCCTATGCCTGGAATGCTCTCCCTCATCTCCGCCTTCTGGCTTTGCTGGATTCCTTCAAGTCTCAATGAAAATGCCCCCTTCTGGGAGAAGTGTTTCCCAATCCCTCTTAATTCTAGAGCTTCCTCTCTGTTAATTATTTCCTATTTATCTTGTTTATGCATAGTTTCTTGTTTACTGTCTCTCCCACTAGGTGAGCTCCCTGAGGGTAAGGACTGTCTTTTGCCTTTCTTTGTATCCCTATCTCTTAGCACAGTGCCTTTCATATAGTAGATGCTTAATAAATGCTTACTGACTGGGTGATTTGAGACTGAAATAAATACAGTCCCATCTCTTTTAAATCACTAACCTATCCTTTGGCACGAACAACATGTTTAAGCCTGTACTTGGGAAAGTGACTACAATCATTACAAAAATAATTTTAGGAGAGATAATTATCCAGGTAAAGTTTTGAGACTACATAAACATTTTCACTAATGTATCTGTGGGGAGAGTGGCAGTTTAATGCCCAGAGAGCCAGCTTTGAAGTCAGGAAATTGGGGTTCAAGTCTTATCTCTGACACATATTGCTGTGGAAACTGTGTCAAATCCCTTAATGTCTCAGTGCCACAGGTATTTCCCTAAAAGTTTAAGTTTTGGGGGAGGTGCCAATCTGTACTAGTAGGGACTTTCTTTTTTTTTTTTAAACATGGAGCTCTTTATGCCAATGCAATCAACATAGCTAACCCAAAAAAGAAATCTTGGCAGGGGGAAAATGGGGACATCAAAGGTATTTCACTGAATAATTCTTCAGTCTTGCACAAGGAGAAAAAAAAGGAAAAAAAAAAGCTTTTGCTCTTTGAAATCTCTCTCTCACATACCAATTTCCTCAACTGTATAAGTACTCTGTTATAAACCTATAGTGCTGAAGATTAATAACAGATATCTAAAAGTGAGTATTCAGATGCAGGTCCTGGGTGAAGGGTCGAGCCCAGAGGACTGGGCAGCAGAACCCAAGGGACAGTGCTGGTTCCCTAGCTCACTATGTGTAGGCGAGTAAGCCCCGGGCCTTGCTAATTCCTAAAATGGGGGTAGCATCTGCCTGGATAAATTTGCAGGGATTACTCCCTTCAAGCTCTAACATACTATGACCATATGGTTCTAACTGACATTCTGTGAGGAGGTCTACATTTTATTTTTTTGTCGGGGAAACAAAGAATAACAATTTATTTAGAAAAAGTGATTAAGTTCTGTTTTCTGTTAATGTGATAAAGTATCCTTTATGAATCATAACAACACTCTGAAGATTGCTCCTCATCAACGAATGAACTTAAAATAAGACACATTTTGTTTTAAGATGATTACTGCAAATGCAAAGGTATGCAGTCCCCTAACCACCTTTATATTAAGGATAGAAAGGTCATTTCTCAACTCATTCTAAATGACTAATTTTAGCTACAGTCAATTAACCATCACACACCTCAAGACATACAGAGAAATCTGCAATTTATCATTTTGTGCCTCAGAGAATTCTGCTGCAAGGTGTATTTAAAACAATTCCAGTCAGGCAGGCACTACAGGTTTGTCCTTCATTTCAAATTCTGTCACTCCCAAGCTGTTGTTTCATAGGAACTGGAAAAATCAGATTTATCCAGCTATAATTTCCACTTTGCCTATCCTGACATTTCCCCTATTTATGACTGGGAGGCCTAATTTGAGTACAACAGGAACTAACAGATTAAAGTATGGAATTTGTAAATAGATTTTGATAAATTGTGCTTCCTACTTCCCTATTTTAATATGTGGTATCACAAAGAAATGCACTTTGGAGAGATGTAAGCCATATGTGGTTTAAATTATTATACCAAATTGTAACCAAAATTGCTATTCCCAACTGTTTTAAGACTAGTTTTTTTTGTAATATTTACAAAACACACTAAGATAATGCTAAACTTGTTTGAGTTTCAAGGATCATAAATAGGTTTGAGAATTATCACCTAAATTAACAAACTGGTTTCTCATAATACAGGATAGAGCTGGTTTACAAGCACATGTATTCAAATTAAACTAACAAAACAATCTTAATGTGTTATTTTTGTTTTTAAAACTTCTCCTTTGAAACAACCCTTGAAGCCAACTGTTCCTTTTCACATTTTTTTTTATATCAAGCACATCATTTAGACTAACACAAAGATGGCAGTGATTTTAAAGTGAGAAACACGTAAGAGAATGAAACATAAACGGTAAAATCTATCACTCTGAATGGCTGGAAAAGAGAATGTCTATTTCATTAAACATTTTGCTAACAGATTTATCATATTAATCGTATATGGATTACCTATATACAAAGAGTACAAGTGCAACAAAATACACAAAACACTAAAACTCCCTTGGAACAAAGTATGATATTTTCTTGATGATCCAGAAGCCTTTTTGGGAAATCATGAATCAAGGACCATCATTATGAAGGTGTGCTGATCATCACTGCTGTATAAGTGTGCAGAAACTAGCACTGAAACAGCAGGTAGGTTGATACACCGCTAGACAGAACATTTTTTGGTGAAATGAAAGGAGCTTTGACAGATGATCAGATCCAAAATTAGGATAGTATCACCACAGCAAAAAAAATACTAGTATGGCAGGAAAATTTAGTAGATGAGGTTTTTGACACCTAAATTGTAACTCCTGCATCTGGATCATTTGATCAACCATAATCACAAGATTAAAAGCTGCCAAAGAGAATTTTAGAGGTAGAAAGTTTGTTCAAGATCATTGGATTAGGGGCAGCTAGGTGGCACAGCGGATAGAGCACCGGCCGTGAAGTCAGAAGGACCTGAGTTCAAATTCGGCCTCAGACCAAACACTTGACACTTACTAGCTGTGTGACCCTGGGTAAGTCACTTAACCCCAATTGCCTAACCAAAAAAAAAAAACAAAAACAAAACCAAAACATCGTCAGTTAATTTCATTTTTTACAAAGAAAGAAAGCTGAGATGGAGTGATTTGCTCATGGTCACAAAATGAGCGAGCTTAGGCGGCAATGCTAGTACTACTAGAACCCTGACAGCACAATTGTAC